AAAAAAAAAAAAAGAAAACATTTAAAAATTTATTATTCTAATCCATTAGTTGTTTTGCATTATCTTTAGATGATCTCTTTCTAAGTAAAATTTATTTTCTGGATATTCAAATGCGACTATTTCTTAAAATTAAAACATCAAAATGACCCCCAAATATTAAATATTATAAAACTGCAGATTATCATTTATGCATGGGAAATAACCTAATGAAAATCTCTTATTTACTGATGAATAGCCCATTTAGTCAAAGAAGATTATATGTATTTCAACGTTGTCATTCTAAAAGAACAAGACATCAAAAAGAAAATAATAAATTAATTTAGTGTATTAAATTAGCTGCTTCTGCCAATACAAGAAAATATATGTGCTAAATAAAAATGGATATAAGTTTATAACTGAAACTTCCTTCGCAAAATATAATGGTCCTCTACTAGCAGAATTTGAATATTACAGCTTTCCAACTATATTTAAACAAAAATAATTAAAAATCAATTCAAATAATTTAGAATAAGTGCTTTATTTTTTAAATTCCCACAAAAACTGAAACTATCATTTACATCAGTTGCAATAGCAATAAAAATTAGAAATCAATTTGCTATAACTCTCGAAAACACTTATGAGCATAAAACAAAACTAAAAGAAACAAAAAGAAAAAACTAAGTACTCTTTTTAAATTGAAGATAATCTGACTGACTGTGACATAGCTACCTGCAGATGTACAAACAGCAAATGCATTCAAAACAGTGCAAGATTTAACTCATTTAGGACAATATTCCAAACAATCCCAACCCAGTTTTCAATTACTTGTGCAGGTTTATATAGTCACAAAAAGTAAATCTCTCCTAATAAGTAACCAGCTGATACCAATTCAGAATACTCCCCACCAACACAATAACTATGGAAATCACGAGGTATGACTAGGGGAGAAAAAAGCAAAACTCAGCATAAAAAGTGCATATACTTCAATATAACTGCAATATATTTCTACTTCTGTGTGAAAAAAAAATCCTCTAAACTATACATCTAAAAGAAAAGCAAATGTATCATTTCATATTCTTTTTCTAAATTTAAAAAATATATACGTAATCTTTCTTTGTTTTTGATAAGTTCAAATATCAATTGATAGTAGGGTAATTGGATTCTTTAAGAAAGCTCTATAGAAGAGATGAATACAACATACTATATCTTCTTTAAGAAGTATGAGCTGAAATGTTAGGCATTCCTTGTGTTGTTTCTGTGTTTAAGGAATGCTGTTCTTGGAAACAATGGCTTGGAAAAGAAATACCGAGACCAAAATACATTACTACAGGATCTCTATAAAAGGTCACCAAAACTACCCTTGTTCCTGAAATCAGGGAAAACGTTTTTAGAATTTACCTTGCTAGAAAAAATGCTACCACTTTTCTTCCTTTTTCTTTTTTCTGATTATCACAATTAAGCATCAGAAGATTTTTCCCAAATAAAGACTGATGTAAATGTTGATTTCAAGGGCAAACAACTTTCGTAAGAGTCTATTTCTCAGGCATTTCACCATTTGTTGAGACCAAGGCAGCACTGTTCTGGTGTGAATTGTCACTGGCCTCCTATGAAGTGTCCCTTCTGGGAGATTCCTGGGACCTGAAGCTGACTGGCAGATGTAGGCCTAGCAGCACTTGGTGGCTTCCTAGAGGAATTAGATGGAAGTCTGTGACGACTACTCTCCTCACCAGAAGTAGATGAATGTCTTTTTCTTCCAAATTCCTCATTAATCGGGGGCTGCAAATTATGAAAGAAAACACAGTGATGATTTTACTACTTTTCCTCCCTTCAAAATCTAAGGCCAGACTTTTCCAACAAAGAGGGAAACTATGTTGGTGCTTCAGTAGATTTTATTAATATAACGAAAATTTCACAGCAATTTAAGGTATTAAACTTAAATTTCCTCCCCAGCTAAATCAGTCTACCTGTATTTGTTCATTCTTTCACTCAACACGTTTCTTAATTTTCTCTTATGTTTTTGGGCTTGAACTACATAGTAGGGCATAAGCTTAAGGCTGGGTTCCCTGCTTCCAAGAAAACGTTTCTGAGAGGCTATTTTTCTCTTTTATTCTACTTCTGTCAACTGCAAAGCATTTATAACTCTAGTCTCCTCCTCAGCCCTAAACTCCTATTGTAAGCTTGCTTGAATGGTAACGTTTAAAAGATAAACGAGAGCAGCAGGGGAAAAAAGAGATACCAAGCCAAATAACCCTCAGCGAGTTTGAAGGTTTATCTAGGATTTCTAGGATAAGGAGACTGGACAGCATTATTGATAGTACTAAATTTAAACATTTTCCCACATAAATACTCATAAAGCTCCCAAATCCCCTCAGATCGCACGCAAGGATGGAGCAGGTAGGGAAAAGGGATCCTGGATTCAAAAAAAGTCAGCTTTTTAGGCCTTTCCAGTTACAGAGACTTGAGAAGCTGGAACTATACAGCACAAGACTAATATTGTTATGTGAAGACAAGTTATGACCATAAGCTCTTTCTCTCACTTTCCATTGCATTTAAAAGCAGAGGCCTGAATTCTTAGCTTCCGTTCAGACAGGGCAACAGTCACTATTATAGAGCAGGGAAGTCTCTGTGACAGAGCTGGCTCGGCCACTCTAGAACACAGCTCTTAATTCAGAGACACAGGTACTTCTATTAACTCTGTCCCTGGGCCATCAAATCCATCCACACAACACTATAACACAGAGCACAATACCGAGCAGAGATGGACCTAGCCTTCCTCTCACCTCTCTCTCCTGCTTCTTTTTCATTCTTCCTCTTTCCTTATTTCTCTTTTCTCTTCTTCATCCTTTTCCTTTACCTTCTTATATTCACCTCATTCTTTTTTTAAATGCTTTCCTTTTCCTCTTGAAATCAAATTGTTTAAAGCCTACTTTTCTGTCTCGACATGTGCATATAACATTCTCGCCCTAATTTTATTATGCGGGAAAACCTAAATCCATGTTACATCCACACATATTATGAAAACTATAGGATAAAGGTACATAAAAGCTGAAAAATTTTCAGTGTTTTTCAAACATATCCATATAAAAGTTACTAAATCTATAAAATGTTTAATTTAGGGGCATATAAAAATTAAAGTGGCCTGACAATTGTACTGTAGTTGTAAGACATTAACATTTGGAAAATCTGGGTAAACAGAGTAGATGGGAATTTTCTGTACTGTTTTTGCATCTGTTTTAAAGTTTCATTTCAAAACTGGAAAGCTAAATTTTCAAAATAAAAAGTTAAAAAAGAAAAATTGTAAAATTAAAGTTAAGAAAGTCACTGATAGCTCAAAAAATAAGAGTAATAAAAAGAATACAGAGGCAAGGACTTAAAACTTACATCAACACGGAAGTCTTCTAACCTCTTAAAGCTACAGAGGTATTCCTGAAGTTTTGGGTCAATCAACTGTGTCTTAGATTGAGAATATTTTAGATAAGCCCAAAACTTTTCTAATCCATACAGCTGACCTAATAACAAAGAAGAGTATACATGATAAGTTATATAGAATTTTAAAGAAATGACTCATATTGAACATGATCCTACCAGCAATAAACCATTTATCTCCCAATATACACTTTATCTAGATCTTGAGAATAAGACAATGTAATGAATAATAGCAGCTAACATTTGAGCATTTACTTTGTAACAGGTATTATTTAAGTTTCTTGTTATATATTAAACTAATTTGAACCATATACAACCATATACAACCCTGTAATATAGGTGCTCTTGTATTTACTGATGAGTAAACTGAGGCTAACAAGGTTAAGTAACTTACCCAAGGTCACACAGTTACTAAGTAGTGGAAATGGAATTCAGACCTAGGGATCTAGTTCAGAGCCTGCACTGTTACCCATGTGCTATTCTGCCTTTCCAAGCACACCTGCTGATGTTAACAGAATTTTCATGTCATGGAATATCAGTGAGTAGTCATGTTTGTCAAGGGAATAATGACAAAACACAACTCCATAAAGGAAACACTTGGGAGCAGTTATTTTTGCACACCTCAGAGTAAAGGCCTTCTTACTATATGGTGCCCCACCCTTCATCAAGAACCATAATAGTTGCCTGAAGGTCTTAAATCATCTGCCCTGAAGAAAAAAGTTATGAACTCCCTCCCTATTTATTGACAGACTCAGGTTTACAATTTCCAAATGGAATAAGATTATCGTTTTGTTTTGTTTTACCAGATTCGTAGTCTTTTTTGGTTTCTTCTTGGAAATCCTTAAAAATTTCTTGTCTGAATTTTTTTTCCAGTCCATAACTATAAAACCTGAACAGACATTCTAATCCATACCTGTGAAAAAGAAATAAAAAGTTCATAATAAAATTTTTGCTATGACAATGCAAACATCTCATATTTAGCAGCATTGATACAAGCAAACATGGCACAAATAATCCCAAACAAAAAATGTTTAAATGTATGTAATTTTTAGTATGCAGATTTTTAGCTGAAGTGATAATTAGTAATCCATAGCTGGCTTTGCTATTTTTGTTGACTCAGCCATAGCACCTCATAGAGGTATACTGGGAACCTGCAGGATGAGAGGCAGCCAACTAGAGTTGGCTTTTTTGGACAGAGGATCTCTCCCTGGTATTTCTGAAGAACTGGTCAAAAGATTTAGTGACAAATTGGGTACATTTTAGATTTTTCCCAAACTAAGGTTTATAATAGTGTTTGTGCATGGTATTAAATGCTCTTAAATATAATCTTTACTCTAGAAAGATAAAGACCATACTCTTGTGCCCTAGATCCTAGGTGTAGTTGACCCATTCAACTATAAACGGATGAACCTAATTAAATGGCTCCTAAGAGATCCTTCTTGCTTTAGTTATAAAGTACATCCAATAAAAGATGTTTTTCTAAAAGAATTGTATTCACAGGGCTGGCCTGGTGGCGTAGTGGTTAAGTTCGCACGCTCCACTTTGGCTGCCCGGGGTGCACAGGTTCAGATCCCAGGCACGGACCTAGGCACCGCTTGTTAGGTCATGCTGTGGCAGGCATCCCACATACAAAGTAGAGGAGGATGGGCACAGATGTTAGTTCAGGGCCAATCATCCTCAGCAAAAAGAGGAGGATTGGCAGCAGAAGTTAGCTCAGGGCCAATGTTCCTCACAAAACAAAAAAAAAAGTAAGAAGAAGAATTGTATTCACTACATAAATCAGAAAACAAATTTCCTTGTTTCCTCCTATACCTACCTGGAGAACCTGAAACAAGTTTTGGACAGTGGATCAGCACACCACATGGGCCCAACCTTCAACTGATAGTGATGAGCAGAATCCATGAGAGTGGACAAGGTCAAGAGAACTGCAGTAAAAGGACCACATCTAGCTCACTCAACTAAAACATGCCACAATTAAAAGATTCTTCACTTAGAAGTCTTAAGTTGTTCTGGGTGCCTCAGTAGTGTAGAAGCTACAGTTTCTTCATTACTGTTAACATAATGTTGCCTGGCTGTTATTCACAGGAAGAATTCACAGGTGTGTGTGGGTGTGTCTTTTGTAACCAGCTTATTTACAAGATGGAGAGTGATGGTCTGCTCAGAAGAATAAATAGGTTTCCTGGCAAGAAGCCAAGAGAAATATGCACAGCTACCAATCCACATGCTAACGTGAACTCTTTGCTTTGGTAGCCATAAGTGGCACTATTCTTTGAGCTTGCATGACTGAAGAACTAAAGGAACACCAGCTCAGAATGATAAATCTGCCTTTACACTCCTCTTAGAGGATATTATATTGATTATCAGTGGTTCTCAACCGTGGCTACATATAAGAATCATCTGCAGAGCTTTTAAAAAATATGATCCCCAGGCCCTGCTCCAAACCAATGAAATCAGAATCTTTGCCGGTGAAGCCTAGGAGTCTTTCTTTCTTTCTTTCTGGAAAGCAGAATTGAGTACTTTTGGTTTTTCTCAAGTAAATGACATTTTAGAGGAATGTGAGAATACTTAGATTATTGGCAACGCCAATAGACTACTATAATATTTAGATTTTTACTCTTATTTTTCAGCAAACTAATTCCAAAGACCAGAAGTATCACATTAATAACATAACCCAAATATGCAGCTTAACTGCTGGATGGAGGAACAGGGGCAAATGACTAGCCTCTCAGTTGTCATTTACTCACTTACCCCTCACTGTGAGATAGCTTAGATGAGTGGAAAACATAAAGGCTGAGAACCAGAAAGAACTGTATTTGAATTCTAGGCTTGTAATTTTATCCCTGAAAATGGGGATAATAATATCCTACTTTTCAAGAATAGATAATATTTGTTAAGCCCTTAGACCAGAGCTGGCACATTGAGGATATGTAATAAATGTTATTTCTCTCCTTCCTTCCTGAAACCATCTTACTGCTACTTTCAGTCAATGAACATTTAGCACTGATCTTCCTAATTACAATATCCATTTATTGAGCACTTACTATGTATCAGGAAACATGTTAAGTCATTTACGTGTTCTGTTTCATTTAATCTTCACAATAACCCTATGAGGGTATCTACCATAATTTCCCCCACTTTATAGATAAAGAACCTGAAGCTTACTGGGATTATAACTTGCCAAGATCACAGTAAGTTAATGAGCTGGGACTCAAATCTAGGTCTGATTTCAAAGCCTTCAAGTGCTTAACCACTGCGCTATACTTCCTAACGAACAGCTAATCCAGTCTAGTCATGAACACTGTAGAAACAGACCCAACATTATAAAACGGTATTAAAAAGCTTTTAGAAACATACACAGAATATACAGGAACACAGAAGAACTCCTAACCTAGACTTGGGTAGGAATGGGATCAAAAAAGTTATTAGAAAGTCCTGAGGAACAAACAGAAATTGTTTGCATAAATAGCACAATATGCTGACATTAATTATAACAATGGCTTTCAAGCTTTTCTAAGCCCAATAGTAAGAAAAATATTTTACCTTGTGACCAAGTCAACACAACACTCACATATGTGTGTACATAAAAGCATATATAAGTTTTGCAAACAATTCTTAAATTTGCATGAATGTATGAATTGTGAAACAATGTTAACTTCACTATGTTCAGCGCAGTCTGATATTTTCTACTGTATTTTTTTAAGCAAGTCAGAACCACTAAATTGATTGCACAGCCCACTAATAGGTAGCAAACCACAACTTGAATGAGGACATCAAGACCAGAAATGTCAAATTTTGCCTTTTGTGCCAACTCTGGTAAACTGGCAGTAGCTATTAAAGCTATGATAAGAAGACTATAAATCTGAATTCAAGAACAATCTTGAACAGCGCTGGGACTAATTAGAGATGTCAGTAATGGACAAATAGAGGTACACATGCCATGTATCTGTATTCGTGATCAAGATAAAGATTCTAGATGGAAATTACATGGGCTTTATTTTTATACAAGTCAGTGCAAACGTAATTTTTTTTCAGAAAAATTTATTTGCAGCATCTTATATTCCTCTCAAAGGTCTTAATATCTGATTAACAATATATACTTATTTGAGATTTACAAGAGGAATCCATTTTTAGAACTTGAAGAAGGGTAACTTAGGTAAATATTCAGTGGAAAATTATCTTTTTTCTTCTTTCCATCCCTCCTTTTCTCCCTTTTCTCAGGAATAAACAGCTTGCGTGAGTCCACTCTATGTTCCTTCTCACCCTCTCGGTCTGATCTCTACTCAGCCCTATAGGCACTCTCAAAATTTCCCCAGAGCATTTTTCAAGGAAGCAAGGTCTCACCTGGACAAAAAGAATGAGTTAGCAAAGCAGAGAGGAAGAAGAGAAGCAGCAGCAGAAGTAAGATCATGTACAGATTGCTAGAGGCCAGAGAGCTCGGTTCATCCAGAGAACACACAGTTCTGTACCACTGTTGCCCAGAGGACTAGAGAACTAGCAGCAAAAAAATGAGACTGGACAGGTGAGTCGGGACATATCATGAGAGGCCTTACCTTTTCTTGGCTCAAGGAATCTTAACAACTGGTTTGGCTCTAAGCATGTATCAATTTGGGGATGTATACACCCATGCAAGGGAAGTTGTAATGGTGGGAGCAAGAGAGAGAAAAATCTCTTTCAAATTTCATTTGGCCTTTGTGCCAGCCCCTAACATGGTTCCAAATGATCCCACCTCCTGGTATTCACAACCTTGTGTAGTCCCCTCCTACACTGTACCAGGGTTGGTCCGCGTGAATAATACAATATGGCAGAAGTGATGATATGTCACTTTCAAGTATAGGTTATACAAGACACCTAGGCTTGCTTCCATCTTGGAAGTTCTCTCTCTTTCTTAGGTCACTCCCTCTGGGTGCAGTCATGTTGTGAAACACCCTATGGGGAGGCCTATGTGGCAAGGAACTGAAGCCTCCTTCCAACAGCCATGTGAGTGAGCTTGAAGAGGATCCTCCACTGAGTCAAGTCTTCAGAGACTGCAGCCCGGTGCAACACCTTAACTGCAATCGCATCAGAGACCTCAACCAGAACCACCCAGCTAAGTTGTCCGTGGAGTCTTGACCCTTAGAAACTGTGAACTGTAGAAACTGCAAATGTTTCTTGTTTTAAGCTTGTGAGTTTTGGGGTAATTTGCCGTGCAGCAATAGAAAACTAATATAGCCCTCCCTCCAGTTCTGTTGTACTACTTTCACAGTTCAAAATCGGGCTACTTCAGTACTAGGTTTTTGTTTTTTTTTTTTTGTGAGGAGGACCAGCCCTGAGCTAACATCCAATGCCAATCCTCCTCTTTTTTTGCTGAGGAAGACTGGCCCTGGGCTAACATCCATGCCCATCTCCCTCCTTCAGTACTAGTTTTTAAATTATTTTTTTAAAACTCCCTCCAAGTGTAAAAATATGAGAAAATATTTGACCTGTAGTTTTCTTTTGCATCTTCCCAAGCAAGTTGTCTAAATTCCTCATACATTTTTTTATTGAAGTGATCTCTGAGGAAAAAGGACCAGAAACGAAAGAGGGTATTCATTTCTTGGGACTGGCCAATTCCCAAGCGTTTCCTCTCTGGAAAAAGTTAAAACAATAAAATTATTTTTATTAAAGATACTTATTAAAGTCAAAACAGTAGACATTTTATATATAACAACTTTATATATAACGTTTTATGTAACTTAAAGAAAGCTGAAACACATTAATCCCCAAAATGTATTTGGGTTTCTTCTAAATAAAGGACAAATATTAATCCATTTTCTGACTCACTGCTCAAATTTAAGCATTTGTCAATAGCAACAAGAACATACTAAACTTTATCTCCTAACATATCGAAGCTACAAAATACATGAATAAAGAATCTATATAAACACATTTACTTAAGGTAATTATAACAAAATAAAAGAATATCTTAACCTGATAGTAAATGTCACAATTTGAATTTTTTAGAATTATATTTTAATTTTACATATAGCTATGTAAAGGATAAGCATCTTACCACTTAGGCATCTTCGACGATACTTGTGGTACACTTGTTGGGTAAAGCCATTTTCCTTCAAAAGTTCATGAGATGGGTGCTGAAATTTTGGGAATGACTGAGGAGTACATCTGTAACTTCCTACTAGTGGTGCACCTTCTGAAGGCGAAGCATTTGAACTGCTGTTTGAGGAGGAGGAAAAAAGCCTTCAAACTGAAATATTAAGAACCAAATGTTTAAACCAACTTGCACTAATTGTTTGTTATTGCGAGTCTGAGCAGTGAAAAAGACATTAGTCTCTAAACTCTCCTAAACTAATGACATACAAATCTGCATATGAATTGCAATTTATGTCCAACACACAGGTAAATCCAAAAGTTGATAAAGAACATGGTTATAAGTTCTCAACTAAAACAAAAAGTAGAAGCAGATAATTGAACAGCTAGCTTATTCCTTTTCTAAATCCATTATTAATTTAGTTTAGATTAGCTTATTTTTTTCTTACAGTACTGGAGAAATTTTCAGTTTTCATGAGTAATTAGGTTAATGATGTAAATTGAATAAGTGGAAATGAGGGATAAAATCTGGCACAAAGGCAATAATTTCATATCCCAAAGACATACCTGCAATTCCGTAAATCAGTTCCACTTCTGAAATATCTCCTAAACCTGTCTTCTACTTTTCATTTGCACTCCATTATTTAAATTTAAGCTTTCCTCCTCTTTCACTTGAACTGGTCTCCTTGTTTTTCTAATCTCCCTCCTCTATCTTGCCACCAATGTGATCTTCCTAAGACATTGATCTAAATCAGTGGTTCTCAATGGGTGGCCTGTGGATGCTTGGAGGGGTGCCTAAGAATCTTTCAGAAAATCTGCAAGGTAGAAACTATTTTCATAATAATACTAAGGTATTATTTGCCCTTTTCACTGTGTTCACATTTGTACTGATGGTACTAAAGCAATTACAAAACTGCTGATGCAAATTGAGGCAGTGGCACCAAACTTTACTTACTAGTGATTGTATTATTCACTGCTATGCACTTGCAATTTTTAAAAAATGCCAGTTTCAACTTAAGATGCCCTTGATAAAGCAAAAAAAAAAAAATTAACTTTATGAAATCTCAACCCTTGAGTACATATCTTATTGTGTGTGACAAAATGAGACAGAAGCTTTAGTTTTGCCAAATGAAAAGTTCTGGATATGTTTCACAACAAGGTGAATAAAACTTAACAATACTGAACTGTACACTTAAAAATGGTTAAGATAGTAAATTTTATGTTGTGGTTTTTTAATCACAATTAGAAAAAAATGAGATGGAAGCATAAAGCACTTTTGCAGCATATCGAAGTAGGATGGTTGTTGCTATGGACTGAATGCTTGTTGAATTCCCAACCCCCAATGTGATGGTATTAGGAGGTAATTAAGTCACGGGGGCAGAGCTCTCGTGAGTGGGATAAGTGCCCTTATAAGAAGAGACATGAGGGCCGGCCCCGTGGCTTAGTGGTTAAGTGCGTGCGCTCTGCTGCTGGCGGCCCGGGTTCGGATCCTGGGCGCGCACTGACACACTGCTTCTCCGGCCACGCTGAGGCCGTGTCCCACATACAGCAACTAGAAGAATGTACAGCTATGACATACAACTATGTACTGGGGATTTGGGGGGAAAAAATAAATAAATAAAAATCTTTAAAAAAAAAAAAAAAAAAAAAAAGAAGAGACATGAGAGAGCTTGCTTCTTCTCTCTTTGCTCTCCGCCATTTGATGATACAACAAGAAGATGGCCATCTGCAAACCAGGAAGTGGGTCCTCACCAGACACTGGATCTGTTGGCACCTTGATCTTGGAACTGAGAAATAAATATTTGTTGTTTAAGCTACCCAGTCTATGGCATATTTGTTATAGCAGCTTGAACTAAGACAGTTGTCTTAAGTCAAAACACTTGTGTGATAAAGTTGTGAGCCGAACTGGTTGATTTTTTCATGGAATATCATTTTTAATTAGAAGAACAATCAGCAAATTATGGTTATTCAGACTTCCTTTTGTGTCAGACATTTCCTTGAAAAATGAACAAAATAAGTCTGTAACATCAAGGAAAAATCTGAGCTTTCATGCTAAAATTAGAATTTTGGAAACCTTGTATTTGTCACCATGAGCTTAAAAGTTCCCACTAATACCTAAAGACTTTTCCAATGAAATCAGTGGTGATTTTTTTTAGGAGTTTGTGTGTGCCTGTCTGTGTGTGTAGTAAAATATACATGATATTTATAATTTTAACCAGTCTTAAGTGTACTAATCATCAGCATTAAATATTCACAATATTATATAATCATCACCACTATCTACACCTAAAACTGATATCCTCAACAAAAACTCAATCTATTAAACAATAACTAACACTTTCCCCCTCCCTTCAGCCCCTAATAACCTCTATTCTACTTTCTGTCTTTGAATTTGACTATTCTAGGTACTGTCCTATAAGTGGAATCATACTATATTTATCCTTCTGAGTTTCCCTTACTTCACTAAGCATGTTCTCAAGGTCCATCCATGTTGTAGCATTAATCAAAATTTAACTCTTTTATATGGTTGAATCATATTCCATTGCATGTATATACCATATTGTGTTTATCCAATCATCCGTTGATGCACATTTAGGTTGTTTTTACCTTTTCATTACTATGAATAATGCTGCTATAAACATGGGCATAAAAATATCTGTTTAACTCCTGTTTTCAATTCTTTTGGATATATACCTAGGAGTGGAATAGCTGGGACATATGATAATTCTATATTTTAACATTTTGAGAAAATGCCAAACTGTTTTCCACAGTGGCTGCAGCATTTTATATTTCCACGAGCAATGCACAAGGGTTCCAATTTTGCTACATCCTCACAAACATTCATTTTCAGTTTTTTTGACAATACATATCTGTATCAGTCAACTTAGGCTGCCATAACAAGATATCACAGACTGGGTGGCTTAAACAACAGAAATTTATGTTCTCCCAGTTCTGGAGGCTAGAAGTTCAAGATCAAAGTGCCAGCAGTGTTGGTTTCTGGTGAGACCTCTCTTCCTGGCTTACAGAGAGCCACCTTCTCAATGTGTCCTCACATAGCCTTTCCTCTGTGTACATGCAGAAAGAAAGAGATCTCGGGTATGTCTTCCTCTCTTTATAAGGACACTAGTCCTATTGTATTAGGGCCCCATCCTTACTACTTCATTTAACTTTATCTCCTTAAAGGCCCTATTTCCTAATACAGTCACACTGGGGGTTAGAGCTTCAACATATAATTTTTGAGAGACATAATTCCGTTTGTAACACCATCCTAGGGGGTGTGAAGAGTTATCTCATTGTGATTTTTGATTTGCATTTTTCTAATGATTTAATGATGTTGAGCCTCTTTTCATGAGCTCATTGGTCATTTGTACATCTTCTTTGAAGAAATGTCTATTCAAATCCTTTGCCCATTTTTGAATTGGGTCTCTTTGTTGTTGGTGAGCTGTTGGAGTTCTTTATAAATTCTGGATATTAATCTCTTATCAGATGTATGATTTGCAAATATTTTCTCCAATTCAGTAGGTTTTTTCACTCTGATAGTATCCTTTGATACAGAAAAGTTCATAATTATGACGAAGTACAATTTATCTATTTTTTCTTTTGTTGCCTGTGCTTTTGTGTCATACTCAAGAAACCACTGCTGAATCCAGGGTCATGAAGATTTTTCCCTATGTTTTCTTCTAAGAGTTTTATAGTTTTAGTGCTTAAGTTTAGGTCTTTGATCCAGTTTGAGTTAATTTTTTCATATACGATGTAAGGTATGGATCCATCCTTTTGCATCTTGGGTATCCAGTTTTCCCAGCACGATTTGTTGAAAAGATGGTTCCCTCCTCCATTGAACAGTCTTAGCACCCCTGTTGAAAATAAATTGACCATATATGTGAGGGTTTGTTTCTAGGCTTTTATTCTATTCCATTGGTCTATATATCTGTTCTTATGCCAGGATCATACTGTTTTAATTACTGTAGCTTTGTAGTAACTTTCAAAGTCAGGAAGTGTTAGTCCTACAATTTAATTTTTACTTTTTAAGACTGTTTCGGCTTTTCAGGGCACCTTACAATTCCATATGAATTTGAGGAAAAGCTTTTCCATTTCTGTGAAAAAGGCTGCTGGAATTTTGATAGAGATTGTGTTGAATCTATAGATTTCTTTGGGTATTACTGATGTCTTAACAATGTTAAGTCTTCCTATCCATAAATATGAAATGTCTTTCCATTTATTTAGGCCTGCTATAATTTTCTCAGCAATGTTTTGTAGTTTTCAGCATACAAGTCTTTCCTCTCCTTGGTTAGATTTATTCCTAAGTATTTAATTCTTTTAGATGCTAATGTAAATGGAATTGCTTTCTTAATTTCCTTTTTCTTTTCTTTTTTTTTTTTGTGAGGAAGATCAGCCCTGAGCTAACATCCACGCCAATCCTTCTCTTTTTGCTGAGGAAGACTGGCCCTGGGCTAACATCTGTGCCTGTCTTCCTCCACTTTACATGGGACGCCGCCACGGCATGGCCTGACAAGTGGTGCGTGGGTGTGCGCCCGGGATCTGAACCCGGGCCGCCAGCAGCGGAGCACACGCACTTAACCACTACGCCACAGGGCTGGCCCCCTTAATTTTCTTTTCAAATTGTTCAGTGCTGGCATATAGAAACACAACTGATTTATGTGTGTTTTGTACCCTGCAGCTTTGCCAAAATTGTTTACTAGCTTTAGTGTCTTTCTTGCTGATTTGGGGGGATTTTCTATATATGGAATCATATTATCTGTGACTAGAGATAGTCTTAACTCTTCCTTTCCAATTTGATGTCTTTTCTTCCATTTTCTTCTCTACTAGCTCTGGCTAGAACTTCCAGTACAACACTGAATACCAATGGCAAAAGCAGCTATCGTTGTCTTGTTCCTGATCTTAGGGGGACAGCTTTCAGTATTTTACCATTGAGTATGATGTTAGCTGTGGGTTTCTCATAAATACTTCTTATCATGTTGAGAAATTTTCCCTCTAACCCTGGTTTTCTAAGAGTTTTTAATCATGAAAGGATGTTAGATTTTGACATATGCCTTTTCTGTGTCAATTGGGATAATCACGTAGTTTTGTCCTTACATTCCTACATCCAATGTAATGTATTACATTGA